CTTTTCCGGGGAAAATCTCCCCTTTCAGAGGCTTTTAGAATGTTGCGTCTGTATATATATACTCATGTTATTTGATTCGCTACCTGCTCTTCACATATATATGATCGATACGGTCTAATTGACTCTCATGCAAGGAAAAACAGAACTTGCGTCGGTATATACTCATGTTATTTGATTCGCTCCCCATAATATGCTTTGATCATTTGAAAAATGATCATGTTAAGAATGACCCCCCCCCCAAAAAAAAAAAACAAGCCCCACTTTTTATATGAATGACCCCCAAAGAAACCCTTTTCCGGGGAAAATCTCCCCTTTCAGAGGCTTTTTAGAATGTTGCGTCTGTAAATATATACTCATGTTATTTGATTCGCTACCTGTTCTTCACATATGTATGATCGATGTGGTCTAAATTGACTCAGGGAAGGAAAAACAGAACTTGCGTCGGTATATACTCATGTTATTTGATTCGCTCCCTATAATATGCCTTGATCATTTAAGAAATGATCATTTTAAAGTATGATCCCCCCAAAAAATCCAAGCCCCATTTTTTATCTGTATGTCCCCCAAAGAAACCCTTTTCCGGGGAAAATCTCCCTTTCAGAGGCTTTTTAGAATGTTGCGTCAGTATATATACATGTATACTCATGTTATTTGATTCGCTACCTGTTCTTCACATATGTATGATCGATACGGTTCTTTCATTTTTTTTTTATACCTATTACGTTATCATACAAGACAGAATTCTCCATTTATTCTCAATATATTTTATTTCCTTAAATCATTGATAATTCTTATTAACGAATGCTAAAACATGATTAAAATCATTCCTATACAGGTTTTGACGTTAACGTGTACAACATCAAACTTATTCCATTCGCGAAGCGAATAACATGATTATGCCAATAAAATACCAAACAAACACGTTTATATTCAAAACAAAAAATATATACTGGTTTCAGCGTAGAACAGCGAGGAAGTCAAGATGCAAGTGCATTTAGGCTAGTATCATTGCAACCACACAATATCTGAGCATGAAATATATATAAAATATGGAATTCAAGTAAACTGATTGAAAACAAGGGATAAAGATAGTGAAAGTTAATCCCGAATTACTTCTTTGGTCAAATAAAGAACATTAAATAGTATTTTGCCTCTAAATATTTTTGCTTGAAGTTATCGCCCTTATAATATTAAATGACATCAGTTTTTTTGCATAAATAGTCAATTTTGATAAATTTACTTAAAATAAAAAGATCAAGAATAGACATTTTTTGTTTCTTTATTATGGAAAAAGAATTATATCTATTCTTTTAATTGTAAATAATCATGAAACATTGATATATTTGCATATGAATAGTTTATTTCATAGGAGTGAGATTTAACTGAGTTAAACAAACAAATAAAAAAAAAAGAAAGAGAGAGTGAGAATGTGGGGAATGTGAGAGGAAGACAGAATGGGAGGGGAGGAGGAGTGAGAGGGAGAGATAAAGTGAGGGAGAGAAAAGAGGGTGAGAGTGGCGGATTACTATCTCCCGTTCTATTTAAACCCTCTTTGATCTCCCTGCACTCTCTAGCCTTATCACATGTACATGTAGCCACCTACTATCTCTCCCGCTGTCTCCGAAGAGGGAATGTGTGAGAGAGAGTAAGAGTGGAGAGAGAGGGAGTGAGGTTGGAGCGACTGAGAGTGGAAGGAGTGAGAATGGAGAGAGAGAAAGTGAGTGAAAGGGGGAGAAAGGGAAGGAGTGAGAGTGGGGAGAGAGGACGAGAGGGTGGAGAGTGGGGGAGAGAGAGAGTGTGGGAGTGAGAGAGATGTGGAGGAGAGAGAGAGAGTGAGAGTGGGGAGAGAGAGTGGGGGAGAGTGAGAGTGGGATTGGAGTGAGAGTGAGAGTGGGAGAGAAAATGAAAGTATTAATATTAATTTCGGGATGTGTTAGTCCGTCTGTCTGTTCTGTATGTCTGTAACAATTAAATTGACACTGTGTTCAAAATAAATTGAAATGTTAACAATATCTTGATGAAATAAGAGTAGTAATTTAGAAAATACTAATTTTCACTAGCTACTCTTATATTGATATTCCAAACTTTGAATGGAAGCAGGTGACAACAAACAAAATCAATACCGGGAGTCCAGAAAATGTTTCCCCCCGGTAGGGGACATGTATTGCTTATAAATTATGCAAATGCTTGTTCATTTCATTTAACAAATATAGCTAATATTGGCTAATATCATTTTTATGCTTCAGAACCAGAACTTCTGTAACACAACTGTTATACATAAGGCCAACTACTAGAGAAAAGACAATTCACTATTTCCAGTTTTCCCTTTTTTTCACTGTGATTCTGTTGGACATTCTTTTTCTCTTTAATGTTTTACTGCACTTTATTCTTTTTCCAGTTTGAATGCATTTAATGTAAACTAAAATTTATTGAAAGTTTTCAACGTCACACCAGTTATGCAAATACATATTTGGGATTAGTATAGGCATCGGTACACGCAAAGGGGGGGGGGGGTTAGTCACAAAAATGATTTGCCAGGATATACATAATACAGGCATTAAAAATTGGGGCTTACCTTGGGGGAAGGGAGTCCACTTTCAATTTGCTACTGACGGCTATGTATAAGAAAAAAAGAGTCGGACTGAGCGACCTTCTATATACTCATCATCTCCCTGTTTTCAATGAGGGTAAAGCAATACATGTAAATTAAAACGTTTTTCAAAAGATATATGAATTACAATTTGATTCTCTTTATTACTAAAATATAAGTCCAGAATTTTTGTTCTAAACATATTTTTTTCAAAGTGCGTTAAATTTCCACATGGTAAAAATGTTGATGTACACTCTTAACGCACTTTGAAAAAATTTTTCAAAGTGCGTTGAGTGTGTCCCAAATTTAACGCACTTTGAAAATTTTTTTCAAAGTGCGTTGCCACATAGCATGTTAAAATTATGACTTAATTTTTCGTAAAATCCCGACGTTCTGCTATGAAAGGTACAGTATTTGGCGTTATTTTTAGAAATGCATATATTTGAGTTATATATAAATTATATACCATTTAATTTTAAAAAAATCTTAGCCATTTGAAAATGTTTTGAACGGAGCAGACCTGAAACGCGGCATTTCTTGGCCAAAACTGTACTTTGTTCATTTTAAAATAAAAAAATATTCATTAAAAGAAAACAATAATTTGTGAATATTTTTTAAACTTGTGATTAAAATCTTCTTAACCTGTTTGTTAATCATATCTATCCGCTCCTGTTTTTTTTTTAATTCAAATATGTAAATATGTGTTGCAGGTGACAGTAAGCAGCTGACAGTTGGCTGTAAGCAGTCAGCAGTTGGATGTCGTATATAGAATTCCATAACCCAGCCTTTCTTTACATATTTATACCCCCCGCTTGAAAAGTGGGAGGGTATATAGTAATCGGTATTTCCGTCCGTCCGTCCGTCTGTTACGCTTTGGGGTACCCATCTCCTATCCGCAACTCCTCCCATATACCACTGAAGGAAATTTAATGAAACTTTCACAGATTCTTAATTACATATTGCCATTGTGCACCTCCTATTTTACTTTTTGATCTGACAGTCATATATTTTTGATTTTCCAGATCAAAACATGGACACTGCCATTATATTCATATGAGAGGCGGGGGGTATCATTTAGTGAGCTCATTGCTCACAGTACCTCTAGTTTATTAGATATTCATATGATGCATTCATTTAAAGTAAAACTTTTAACTCGAAAACATCTTATTTGGATATAAATATTTTTTTTTTCATTTTCTTTGAAAAAATACAAAAAAATTAATATAGAATAATTAAGAGCATCGGCCCTTAGATGCTGAAACCATTGTTTAAAAAGGATGACTCAAAGATCTATAAAATAAAAAGTTAAGGACTTTTTTTTACTACAGGTAAATTTCAAGTTTTGCAAATATCCCAGCAGGCATTTCAACGTTGATTCAACGTTGAATCAACGTTGCACTTCAACGTTGAATCAACGTTGAATTTTGGTTGCATATGAAAGTTGAGGCAACGTTGAGACATAACGTTGTTTCAACGTCAATTTTCAACGTTGAATAAACGTTGAAAATGGGTTGAATTTTTGGTTGATTTATGGTTGATTTTTGGTTGCAAATGAAAGTTGAGGCAACGTTGAAGCTGGACGTTGTTTCAACGTCAAATATCAACATTGAACAAAAGTGAACATTGGTTGAAATTAGGTTGAGATTTGGTTGAAATTTTTCGGATGTACAAACTTTGATATTTGGTTGAAATCACGTTGAATTCATATTACATTTTGCTTTATAAACAAATACATTTCAAATTCTAATAAAAATTTTTATTCAAGTTGCGTAATATTTATATAAGTTGTAATCAAGTATTATGATTGTGAGAGAATTTATTTGTAACATGTATTTTTTAGACAAACACAAATTCGGATTCAATCACTGAATCTCAAAAACCACTGCTTGACAAAATTTATATTCCTTGGGAAAAGTGGGTCACAATAATTATATCCAGGTCCTTCAAAGTACGCGTATGCCTTACACTTCTAAGTTCGACAAAGTGGCGGATCCATTGATTTTAATCACGCATAGAGTTAAGTCCCATGAATGAAAGAAATGAACAGGAGAATCCACCCTCCGTGCCCTCTAAGCAAAAGCCTATTGATAAAAGAAATAAAGATGTTAAAGCCATTTGTTCGATAAAATGTACGTACACATGTAACACGTTATATCAAATGATAAAAATAAATATACATGAATGATTTAGAAAATCAGACAAAGGAATATATTCCGGTACTTGGATTTAATTTACATGATTAAAAGAACTGATGTTGACTTTATGTTAAAATTCGTATGAGTATGCTTATAAATAATTATTACTAAAGAAAAATGTTATAGACATACATATACATAGTGTACTTACAAAATGTTGCATTCCTTTGTATAATTTTCACGGGAGAAGAATCTGATGCAATCAAGGCTGACTATACAATCAATTCCCTGCATAACTGGTTGATTGAACCTTACGGCGAACTACAATTAGTTAAATTGTACATAATATATGAGTATACTAGCTTATATTTCATAACCAAATGAATATCAACAAAACACATAACACGAACCAAGGATGTGCATTTCACGCAGATTTCAAATATACTTATAAAACAAGAATTAAATGATGAACAGATACTAAAAAACTGAATTTCTTAAATTCATGAAAAGGAAATAATACTTACTGAGCAGAAGTTGATATTCCAGCCTTAATCCTTGTGTATATAGCTTGAAAAACACATGAAATATGAACAGCAAAGAAACGCGCACTTCTTGTCCATCAGTTGAATTCAAATTTTGACCTAGATAAGCTGCAAACAGCTATACTCTGCCCAGCAAGAAAATTGCATAACAAGGTTATCCTGACACTGAAACTGACCAACTAAGCGAGAGGCACTCCTTATCTGATATCTCGAAGGTTTTTGGGGAGTGGATCTTAAGTAATGCAACTTGACCGGGGTTAATTGCTAGTGTGAAAATTTTTACGTGTTTATTTGAATTTTTTTTATATATTTTGTGAAAAGAAAGATTATAGAATTAATACACACAGAAAACACATTCTAATAAAATAAGCTTTAAGACTTCTTAGATTCGCTCTGTATATGTATAATCTGTGAAAGAGTATACGGCACGGATCCATATGGGTCTTACTTTAAGAACATTAATTCTGAATAATTATTTTTATTAATTCTATAGTAACATGGAATTACAGTGAGATGTTGGATAAAGATGTTAAATTATTTATTAAAAGCTTATATTTGACATATTTTATAAATATATGTAAAAAAAAAATAGCATTCACAATTTATTGAAACACAACTATAATGAAGTGTTAAATGTATATGCCATGCTTCATTTAAACTCATATTAAAAATTTTATAATGGTACTAGCTATTGGCACAACTATTTAGAGTAAATCAATTTATAATGCATGCGTTTCATTTATTAAGTATAATTATTATATATATAAAATTTTCTAACAATGCATACAGCTTTGTGTATATTGCGGAATATCTCATGTATTAGAGTTAAATTAGACACCTTTATATTTTGAACTTAAAAACTAATGTGCTTAATATTCGTTACCCCTTAATTGTTTCAACGTTAAATTTTCCTAACTTTCCTAAAGTTGAAAATATGTTGCATCTTGCAGGTTGTTTCAACGTTGAAATCAAGTCAGTCAACTTTGCATTTTTAAACCTTGTTTTAACTTTACAATATCAGAAAATACTCAACGTTGAAAACATGTTGAATCTTCAACGTTGTTTCAACGTTGAAATATCGACGAACATTCAACGTTGAAAATATGTTGCACCCTCAACGTTGTTGCAACGTTGAAATATCGACGAACATTCAACGTTGAAAATATGTTGCAGCATTAACGTTGTTTCAACGTTGAAATGTCGACGAACTTTCAACGTTGAAAATATGTTGCAGCCTCAACGTTGTTTCAACGTTGAAATATCGACGAACATTCAACGTTGAAAATATGTTGCAGCTTCAACGTTGTTTCAACGTTGAAAAAAGGTTGAGGATTCAACGTTGAAACCTCAACGTTGAAACAACGTTGAAATATAGTTTATCAACGTTGCAACCTATATTCCACCTCCTTTCAACGTTGAAACAACGTTGCGTGCCTGCTGGGATAGTTCCTTGGAACCATGCCAGATTTCATAATAAATTCATAATAGATTGGCTTGATATCCGCGATATTATCCGCGATATACACGAATGAAACAGGAAATGCCGGTTTATTAGGCCTATAGCAAGCCATTAAAATACGAACGTTAGGGAGAATTGGGGTAAATAGACTCACCTTCTTCAACCCGGAAGTTATGTTTCGAGCGTACAACAAATGTGAATTCGAAAACTTTAAAATGCTGTGAACATTGAATAAGATGAACAATATGTCAGAAAATCATTTTATAGTAAGCTAGATGAAGTATCAAGTCAAACTTATTTACTTCAAGCAATACGAGCAGTCATGAGCGAAGAAAAGGTAATCATTTCCCCAGAAACTCGAATATTGTTATCTTTTATATGGTAATTTGAATTTCCTCTGAATTTGAAAAACATAATATTACGCCTGTCTTTTTCTTTTTAAAAAAAAAATATACAATTTTAGTAATGCTATTATATAAATTCCAGTTTTAAGCTAACTACTGTCTTCTTTTATTAAAGACAGTATTGTATAGTGTCAAATAAAAAGAATAAAAAAAAAAACACAGTGTAAATGTAGCTAACAAATCATTCACCATATGGCAGTTGTATCCTGGCATTGCCAGTCGTCCTGAGTCAACACCCCCTGGTAAATTTCATTCAATATTTTAGGACTTGCTCCTTTCATTGAGAAGCATCAAATAATATTAGAAATCGATTCAGCTGACACCTCAAATGCACATGTTACAAGTTGTTTATCATTGAAGATTGTATGTTCGTTCACCCTAAAACATGTTCGCCCTTGATGCTGTTTGCTGTATTTCTCGTTTACCCAGAGTTCGTTTGCTCTAAAACTCGATCGCACAACGTTCGTTCCTTGAAAATATATTAGTCGGTTAATTTTCATAATTTCCTTTGATTTTATTAAATTCTAATTTACTTAAGAAGTAAAATCCACGTTTTCGTCAATGTTGAAGGATAACCTCCACGGTTGAGAAATGTTGTTTGAAAGATAAAAGCCGAGGCGTTAGCCGAAATTTCAAATAGTAGTCAATCTTCTGTAGTTGATGTTTCAAAGACAGAAATCTGTTTTAAGTATAAAATGATCTTGTCTGTTTTCTTATTTTCTCTCCCTTTTTTATTTGTTAGAGTGTAGAAGAGTACAGGTTGAATGCTGATGAAGAGCTTAGGTTTGAAGTTGAGGCCAATGCCTCAGTCCAAATGGAGGTAATTACCATCATTCATTTGTAATCATGATTAAAAAAAAATACTATTTGCTGTTCATTATAATTATAGATGTAGGTCTTAAAGTTATGGAAGCCTGAACTTGCCAGGGAGAAAGAGATATTTTATCTGGTAGTCACCAAGTAAATAGGTCTGGTGGCTGCCACATTAATAACCGGCAGCTGCCAAGAACTTGTTTGACGGCCACCAGATGAAATTTTTTTCAACCGTCCTCTATATAAAATGGATAGAACTCAATCTAATTAAAATTAGATGTTAGATCGGCTTGCATACTTGCTACACTAACATCTAACAACATCCCATAGAGGGTCACGTCAGAGGTCAAATTCTATCAACCAATCAAATCGTCCTCTGCAAAATCATTGAATATTGGTGAAGCAATTAAGTCTAGAGTTATTCTGAATTTGACCTCTGACATGACCCACAACAGGATGTTGTTAGATGTTAGTGTAGCGAGTATGCGAGTGGATCTAACATCTAATTTTAATTTGATTGGATAGAACTATGTACAGTAAAACTATAGTCTAATCTAGCCACCACTAGTTCCAAAGAAATTGGCCAGATTTATAGTCAACATTCTAAGCAATTCATTGAAATTCATGAAAGTCAAGGTTTCAGAATACACAACTAGACAAGTTTCACCGTATTTAAAAAAAAAAAAAATCTGTTGTGTTGTTTTAATTCTCTTAAGCAGTTTCAAAATGTCTTTTCATTTTTAACATAACCATATCAAGTACATATTCTGAGTCTGCATGCATGGATTATATTATGAATAAATCTGAATTCTGTGTACAGCTTCTGGAAGGAATGGCAGAGGTTTTTGGATCAGAACTGACGAAAGGAAAAATCTACAACTTTGACCAGGGAGCCAAAGTAGCAGTCTTCACCTGGCATGGCTGTCTCATTAAGATATCCTTCTCCTCAGCATGCTGTATATTGGGAAATTTTTGCCCCTGTTTTGTATATAGTCCTTTTTCATCCTACTCACAGATGGGCAGATATAAAACTTGGCAAATTCCATTAAGCAGTGCAAAATTGTATGCAAAAATAATAGAGAGCAGAAATAAGCCTGAATACACTAACACATTCATCTTGTCACCTTATTTTAGTGCCAGTCCTTATTTGCAACAAATTACCATACAGTACATGTATCATCCTTTTGGGTCCTACTCTTGAAGATGTCAGGTTTGATTGCACCATATATTGCAACTAGGGATGTCAAATCGGTCAATTTTTATTACTCGGTTACTCGGACGTTTTTCCGATTGAGTACCCGGGTACTCGGTAAAGTGTAAATAAATAGGAACAAGTTAATTGATAACTGTAAAACATGGTAAACTCTTGTAGAAATAAAACCGATGGGAGGTTACCTGCAAATGCGTTGTAACAATTATGACCACTTTGTACCCGACGAATTTTTTTTTAAGTTCAATTTTTTTATCAGATAAATACGAGAAATAAAATCATAAATTGTTCACAGTGTTTTTGTTTCAAAATAATCAGTTCTGTTCCGTAATTGTATATGTAAGTCTTTGATGCCTTTGACGTCCAAGTGATAAGTTGTCAGAGCTACATGTACGGTATAAACTTGATCAAGTAATCCTATAACAGAGAGGATTTATACAATCTTCGTACACTTTTTGATCCGAGACTTCATAGAATTACGATACGGTATGTTTTATTTGGAGCAACGATGGACATAACATTTTTAAAGCATTTGCTTTCAACCATTTGCATTAATTGGCATGTAATCAAACGCATATCAACAATCGCACGTGCAATATCGTCTGTCTCTTTTAATTTACGGCTTCTTGGAGAATTGACAAAATTATTTAATTTATTTAAATACAATGGACCTTAAACGATGTTCAATGAAAACAAATAATTAAAGCAAAATAAACATAAGGGTAGAAGACAGTCGAAGGTGAGAAAAGCCAGGTAGGCACATCAGGTGTTTGGTCACGGTAATTACTGTATAAACACTGCCACGGGCGATAACGGTCATTTAGGAAACCCTAATTACTGTATGTACAAGTGCAAAGAACATTTTACGTTTTAAAATCGATGTTTTAATGCATTAATAAATATATAAGCTCAGAAATATTTAAAATATACATCCGAGTAACCGAGTACCGATTTTAGTATTCGATACTCGGACAATCGAGTACCCGGTTAACCGGGTACTCGTTGACATCCCTAATATGCAATACATGAAATATATTTATATATATTTATATATATATATATATATATATATATATATATATCTAATTTCATGAATTGTACAGACTGAATGAAAATGCATATACTGGAGCATGGAACATATTATTATTTACATTTGAGGCCAAAATAAAATTAAAGTTTGTTTGGAATTGCCTCCTGCCTCACTGAAATGCCCCCTCCTGAAAAAATTTTATTGACCAAAAGTAGGATGATTTTTTTTTTATTTCATCATTTTTTTGGCCCATTACATGTATCACATGCACCATACAAAACACTGATATAAAGTGTCAGGTCTATGTAAAATTAGGTTTTTCTGTTGATGGTAGATAATTTTTTATTTTTTAAGTCAGAAAATGTATTTACTGTTTACTGAGATTTTTTTAATGAAAAATTAAATATATTTATCTTCAATTAAAAAAAAATAATTTCCCTCCCTTCCTCCTGTGTCTGAAACCCTTCAGGCTGCAATTCCAAACAAACAATTTTTTAAGGATGGCCTGATCTGAAATTTATCCTTTTTGCATGTTTATATTGAATCATATTTGTCCTTGACAAAATTTTACTTGCAAGGAAGAACAGAGGTAGCTTATGTTGCCAAGGAAACTCCCATGGTAATGTATATAAATACCCATGCTGCACTAGAACAAATGAGAGAAAAGGCTGAAAGTGACAATACCCGAGGACCAAGGGTAAGTAACTTAGTATGAGTTGATATGAATACATCTAAAACTAAAAAATAGGAAAGGGAAAAGAAATGTAACAAAGTCAGATTCATTTAGAAATAACGAAAGAATGCTGCACATCTAATTTAAATCTAATTGAAAAAAACGTACTTTATCCTCATGGAACTGTTTTAACTATTTAAGTAAATTAAAAATAATTTTTGCGATGACCTGATATTGTATACGGTATAAGTGGAAATTTTAAGCAAGATGCAAATTTAGCAATTTCCCCTTAAAAATTTCTATTTTATTTTTAGCAAGAGATATTTTATTGATTTTAAATGCTCACATTAGAAGCTATTACAAGTGAAATGCACAAATTAATTTTTAGCGATATTCAATTTTAGCAATCTCAGCACCTCTTATAATACCAAAATTAAATCCTTGCTAAAATTTCCACTTATACAGAAGTAGGAGCATTGTCGGAACCCACTGGATTTCTCTCATTTACACTGCATTTAACTGCAGCGTAACAGAGAGAAAACCCATGGGTTCCGACCATAAAGAAAATGTTAAGCGATTTTTGCTTTTATTAGGATTTTCAAGCCAGATAATTGTGATTTGCGTCTATCTAGGTGATGATTGTCGGACCCACTGATGTCGGAAAGAGCACTCTGTCTCGCCTACTACTGAACTACGCAGCCCGCCTCGGAAGGGCACCCATATTTGTTGACCTAGATGTTGGACAGGTGGGAAAGTTTATTTGTATATTATTCATTAGATTATTGTTGAAAATGTAAGGGGAAGTATAGTTGAAACAGTATTTCACACTAGCATGTAGTGTATACTGTATAGTACTTGTCAATGCAGGGCTCTAGATTCTCTAAAATTGGGGCCGTTCAACGGCCCCGTTCCCAATGCAAAAAAGGTACCTTTTTTCCCAAAAGAAAGGTGTAAATTTCCCAATTTCCATCCAGAGTAAAATATCAATTAAAAATAAAAGTCCATCAAACCTAATTGCAAAAAAAAAAAACCCAAACAAAACACATTTGCAAATGAAAGTGAACCAGGTTATTGTTTTTACAAAAATGTATACAACTATGAGTGCAGAGTATCTTGTTATGTAGTTTCGACGAAAAACAGCATTTTGGTTTCAAAAATAGACATTTCATTTAAACATTAGTAAGCTGCACCTAGAAACATACCCGCGCTTCGGCATGTTCAGTCTCGCGCTGTATTGGTAAGCAAAGTTGCGCATGTGATCGAGGAAATTCGGGACTATGTGACTAGCGACTGTCACGCAGTAAGACATATAACCGCAATATCAACACTCAAAGATAGTAATGACAAAGCTAATATACTTTCATAAATAGCCTATGTACCCATATTTGTTCTGTTTAACTGTTTATTCAAACCAGAGTTTGCATTGATGATAAAATGCTAGAAAAGCAAAATTTGAGGATTTTTTTTTTTAATGAATTTGTGTTATCCAACTTTTCCCAAAATGACGATAATTTTCCCAATTTGAAGGGCCCCGGCCCCCGTCCCAAAACGTGGTGTGAGAGCCCTGCAATGAAAAATTGTTCCACCAGTTTAATAAAAATATAGATCATGATAAATGAAAAAAGCACATCTATTATATCAATTTAACAATTGGCAAATATCAGACTTAATTTATGATGATTTTGGATCCAAGTTCCACTTCTCCTATTTTTTATCTCCATCAAATTTTGACCAGTTGCCACCTATATTTTTTTTTTATAGCTACTCAATGAAACAGTACTGCCTCTTCATGGAACAGTACAAGAATATTTTAAATTTTTATTACCCTTTCTGTAACAATCTCTTTCTTCTCCAGGGTCAGGTATCTATACCTGGGACGGTGGGGGCCGTCGTGGTTGAGCGACCCGCTGATGTAGAGGAAGGGTTCCACCTGAACGCTCCGCTGGTCTTCCACTACGGTCACACATCCCCCTCCACCAATCCCCAGCTTTATAAACTCCTGGTGTCCAGGATGGCCGAAGTCACCAATATGAAGTGTGACAAACAGCGTAAATGTCAGAAGTCATATTGTAACAGTGGAATCATCCTTGTTCCTGGGGAATCAATGTTTTTGGATTTCGGGGGTCATCTTTTACCCCACAAATTTACATCTCCATGAGAAATGATTTTGTCAGAATATTTATTCATTGTGTCTTTTGTATCTACAAGTTACCCTGAAATTATACCCCAAGAACCAATAGAATTTTGTTTGCTCATGAACACTGACCTCTCAGTAAATAAAATGATTCCACGGTAACTGTGGGTAGTACACTTTAATGATTGACAGCCCACCTCTTGGAGGTTCCAGGGCAGCATGTTAGTTACAGTATTAAACAGCTACATGTAGTTTAGTCGCTGTGCTAGATATATCTAGATCTTTAAAATGCACTTTATGAAAAAACTTAGTATCCTTACATAGTAGCAAGACTAGGATATTGTGAAAGATCATAGATTATGTAGAGTTTATATGTAATCACTTTCTTTTGTTATCGTATATATATATTCATAGCTAGGCTAGGATATTCATATTGTTCAAGATCATGGATGGCGTAGAGCTATGTGGCCATTACAATCTCTTTGTATGTTGTTCTTGATTTCCATATTAGATGATCAATTTAAGGTGATATTCTGTTTTCTTTCCAGTTAGTATCAGTGGAGTGGTCATTAACACAGGGGGATGGATACACTATAAAAATAGTAAAATTTGCTAATTTTTTGCATTTTGAGATGTGGTAACAAGAGGGGGTGACAAACAAAATGTCTATATGTAGTATTAGTATAATTTGCTTTGCTAAAAAATGGCATTTTCATATATAATCCTAAAACATGCAGCAGGGTCTTTGCATGAAGGTTTTGTATTCATTTTATTGTTCACACAATGTGTGAGGTGAATCTTTGTCAAAGCATAAATTATGATTTATACTTTTAATTGCTTATTTAACCTATCTTGAAAACCTTTAAGAATTTTTATCAAACCTCAATGTTTTTTGCTTACTACAAATTTTTTGGTCAAAGTATGCAGTATGTAGAGGGAATGAAGTGAAAATGGTTTTGAAAGACTTGATTTTGAATGCTTTTTTTTTCTACCTCGGGTGATTCTAATATGGATACTAATAAAGAAATTTTTCATTGATATCTTTCTTAACCTTTGACCTTCTTGTTTCAGTGGATGTGATTATTGTCCTGGACCAGGAAAGGTTGTATAATGAACTGAAGCGTGACATGCCTGACTTTGTCAAGGTCATACTACTGCCCAAATCAGGAGGGGTAGGTCACAATGAATGGCAAGGATTTCAAATATTGTCTTGATTGTCTAAAATTAGTCTCTAAAGTAGAAATTAGATGATATTTAAGTCACAGTTTTAACCAACATACACAATTAAATTAAGGACCCTCTCTACTCTGCATCCTATTTTCGGGGTACTTATGTGTAGTTATACTGATCCACCATTTGAAGAATAAATTGCAATCTGCATTCGATGGCATAATTGTAAATAAATACAAGTATTCTAAACATTATATCAGACCAAGTTAGAATAATTGAAAACTAAGTGCTCATGTAATTTCTCCATTTGAGCAAACAACAACAATTTATGGCTACTTGACTGTCTTTGAAGATTTTTCCAGAATAAAATAGGCACAGTCCATATGTTAATGACCTGATTAAGTGTTTAGCAGTGCAGGTTTACAGTTTATTGATATTTTTTTTAGGTCGTTGAGAGAAATCAACATCAGCGGTCAGAGGCCCGAGACGTCAGGATCCGGGAATATTTCTACGGGGTCAAGGTCAATGGCAAGGACAGCTTCTTCCCCCACCCCATGGACATTCCCTTCAGCTCTGTCAAGCTGTATAAAATTGGAGGTAAAAATCCCTGGCAGCAGCCTTATTATTTTTTTCTAGCGATTTTAGTTTATACATGCATGTTTCCTATAGATTAGATTCTGGGAAATAAATCGTGGGAAAATTGGAGATACATGTTAAAGAACTGCATGGATTGACATTTACTTGACTGTTTGAGTTTATACTGGAGATAAAAGAACACATTTCAGGGGTTTGACATTAACTTTTATGAACACTAGACCAGACAGACTTTTCCAGTAATATTTACTAGTTCTGACTGTAAAATCACTAGCCCTGACTAAACATGCTAAAATACTTGTAAAATCTCGTGAATGATAAAGGGATAACTTTTGAAACCTTACTTTAATCATGTTGAAATGATTGCTTGTCATGAACCACAGGTGTTTATACAAATTTTCATTGTGTTAAATACTACATTCGTTTATATGCTTATTAGTGTACTTGAATAATGGCACCAACAATGTATTTTTAAAAAAATGTCATTTTTAGCCCCTGCCCTGCCAGATGCCTGTCTACCTCTGGGAATGAAGGCACAGGACAACAAGCTTAAATTAGTGCCAATCAGACCAGGTACAAATCTTTATATTTTTCACTTTTTTAAAAAAAAGCCTTGATTTTACAATTGTACACAAGAGCTTGATCAATTTTTCTTCCTACTCTTTGAAAAAGTGGGTCAAAAGAATTTTGACTACCATATATTAAAGCAGAATTTTTAGCGATGATTTAATTTTGGCATTATTAGGGAGGATGCTGAGATTGCTAAAATTGAACATCGCTAAAAATGAATTATTAAGTTTTATTTGTAATAGCTTCTTTTGTAAGCATTTTAAAATTGCTAAAACTATATAAAATACCATTTTTTTAAGGACAAATCTCTAAAGTTGTGTCTTACTAAAATTTCAACTTATATGGTATGCACTTGCCATTGGGCAAATTGGGCCTTTGGATAACTTGATTTTAACATTAATAAATATGCCTGATTGCTGAATATTGTACATGTATTTATTTTGGCAGGAATAAATATTCTACACCATGTGTTCAGTGTAAGCTCAGCATCCAGTATAGAGGATAATGTGATCGAGTCCAATACCTTAGGCCATGTTGTCATGTAAGTATTAATACAGTATAAGCAGAATTTTTAGCGAGGACTATATTTTGGCATTATTGGCGAGGATGCTGAGATTGCTAAAAATTAAAATGATTTCTTGTTATAGCTTCTTTAGTGAAGATTTTAAAATTGCTAAAATTACATCACACTAAAAATTAAACACCAATTTTTAAGGACAAATTGCTAAATTTGCGTCTTGCTAAAATTTCCACTTATACGGTATTAAATATAGCTAAGATGATAAGCTGAGCAAATCTTCTTTGTCTGCACAGCTATTTGTGTTTACATGATTCAAAAGTTTACAGTTCAGTACTAATATTTACATGTATTATTTTGTGACAGATGATAAAATATCACTTCTTTGATAAAGCCAAAGTCTTGTTTTGCCCTTGTAGCAAAGTACATTTTACTTCTTTATGAAATTTTGAAATCAGGTTATTTTATCCCACCGGAAATGTTGGTGGACATATGACTAGACAGACAGACAACTAGATTACTACTGTATACAGGGAAATTTTCGCCCCCGTTTTATTTTCACCCCATTCGCCCTTACCTCTTTAGGGCGAATTTAAAACGGGGCGAATTAAAAAAATTCAGTATAATTTCTGAAACAAAACTACGATTGGGCGAATTTAAAACCATGCAAATTTGTTTTACAGAGTGAAAGGGCGAAAATAACACGGGGCGAAAATAACGCTGTATACAGTATATGGCTTCCATGTTTTAATACTGGGCCCTAAGGAACACTGAACTAGTTTTGTTTTATCATTAATTTGTGCATTCTTGCAAAATAAAATTGCTTATCTTCATATTTTTTAGATCAGGGTTAGACACGGAAAAAGAAACCTTCAACATTCTTTCCCCCAACCAGAATCCTCTACCAAACGACATCCTGCTGATATTAGACTTACAATTTATGGACATTGAAATCTAGACTAATGCTAAGAATGTTTTTATAGAAAAGTGTTTTATTCGGCACATGATTGGAAGGACATTTTAAGCTTTTTAAGTTAGATGATTTTCTTTTGACAACATGTGAAAATGCTACTACTGTGATATCCTTTGGAGGAAAATCCATGGAGGAAAATCAAGAAGAAGAAGTGAAAAGAAATGAAAAGAGTTTATTAATAAGGATAATAGGATGAAAAGAGGACCATTTGATTTAACCCATGAGTGTATCTGTAGTGAAAAAAAGGTTAAGAAATTGAAGCGATCAAGAATCTGCATGACTAGTGATTCATAAAATGTTAATGGATAAAATATCTGCAGTGAACAGGTTTTTAACAAAGCAAATGTCTGCTGTCACATTTATGCATTTTTGTCCACTGCCAATACAATTTATTAAAGTAAAAATTCACTGAATACTGACTTTCTTCTTCACCTTGTCAAAACTGAAATGAACTTCTTCTGCATACTGTAAAATCACATATTTTCATGGGGTCCAATTTTTGAGGTTTGAGGAACAAACTAGAGGTACTGTGAGCAATGAGCTCACTAAATGATACAACCCGCCTTCCATATGGTTATAACTGATGACAAAGTCTATGTTTTGCTGTAGCCGGGAAACCCAAAATATGTGTCGGATCAAAAAGTAAAATAGGAGGTGCACAATGGCAATATGTAATAAAGATTCTGTGAAAGTTTCATTAAATTTCACTCAGTGGTATAAGAGGAGTTGCAGATAAGAGATGGGTACCCTAAAAAGTAACAGACGGACGGACGTACAGACAGACGAACGTACAGCAGGACGGACGGACATGCCGATTACAGTATACCCTCCCACTTTTCAAGTGGGGGATATAATAATGGTTTGTGGGGACTTGATTTGGTGGTAAGAGAATTGTTTAGTAATTAGTAGTAATGCATATGAAGTTTTAAATTACGTGTTGGTCATAACTTCATGGGACTATCCATACCTTGAAAACAACAAACATTTAACTGCCACAAAAATTAGTGATTTCACAGTATAGTTCAGAGAGCTTTATTATACCCCCCGCTTGAAAAGTGGGAGGGTATATAGTAATCGGTATTTCCGTCCGTCCGTCCGTCTGTACGTCCGTCCGTCCGTCTGTTACGCTTTGGGGTACCCATCTCTTATCGGCAACTCCTCTCATACCACTGAAGGAAATTTAATGAAACTTTCACAGAATCTTCATTACATATTGCCATTGTGCACCTCCTATTTTACTTTTTGATCTGACATATATTTTGGATTTCCAGAGCAAAACATCTACACTGCCATTATTAGCTCACCTGAGCCGAAGGCTCAAGTGAGCTTTTCTGATCAAAATTTGTCCGTTGTCTGTCGTCGTTGTCGTTGTCGTTGTTGGCGTTGTTGTCGTTGTTGTCGTCGTAAACTTTTCACATTTTCATCTTCTTCTCAAGAACCACTGGGCCAATTTCAACCAAACTTGGTACAAAGTATCCTTGGGTGAAGGGATTCAAGTTTGTTCAAATGAAGGGCCAGGCCCTTTTCCAAGGGGAGATAATTATGAATTAGAGAAAAATTAATGGCATTTTTAAAAAATCTTCTTCTCAAGAACCACTGGGCCAGGAAAGATGAAACTCATGTGGAATCATCCTCAGGTAGTGTAGATTCAAGTTTGTTCAAATCATGACCCCCGGGGGTAGGGTGGGGCCAAAATGGCCGATCAAAGTTTTACATAGCAATATATAGAAAAAAATCTTTAAAAATCTTCTTCTCAAGAACCACTGGGCCAGGAAAGATGAAATTCATCTGGGATCATCCTCAGGTAGTGTAGATTCAAGTTTGTTCAAATCATGACCCCGGGGGGGGGGGGGGGGGGTGATGCCAAAATGGCCGATCAAGGTTTTACATAGGAATATATAGGAAAAAGTTTTTAAAATAGTCTTTTCAATAACCACTGGGCCAGGATAGATGAAACTCATGTGGAATCATCCTCAGGTAGTGTAGATTCAAGTCTGTTCAAATCATGACCCCCGGGGTAGGTTGGGGCAAAAATGGCCGATCAAAGTTTTACATAGGAATATATAGGAAAAAATCTTTAAAAATCTTCTTCTCAAGAACCTCTGGGCCAGGAAAGACGAAACTCATGTGGGATCATCCTTAGGTAGTGTAGATTCAAGTTTGATCAAATCATGACCCCTGGGGGTAGGGTGGGGCCAAAATGGCCGATCAAAGTTTTACAAAATTAGGAATATATAGAAAAAAATCTTTAAAAATCTTCTTCTCAAGAACCACTGGGCCAGGAAAGATGAAACTCATGTGGAATCATCCTCAGGTAGTGTAGATTCAAGTCTGTTCAAATCATGACCCCGGGGGTAGGGTAGGGTGGGGCCAAAATGGCCGATCAAAGTTTTACATAGGAATATATAGGAAAAAATCTTTAAAAATCTTCTTCTCAAGAACCACTGGGCCAGGAAAGATGAAACTCATGTGGAATCATCCTCAGGTAGTGTAGATTCAAGTTTGTTCAAATCATGACCCTGGGGGTAGGGTGGGGCCAAAATGACCGATCAAAGTTTTACATAGGAATATATAGGAAAAATCTTTAAAAATCTTCTTCTCAAGAACCACTGGGCCAGGAAAGATGAAATTCATTTGGGATCATCCTTAGGTAGTGTAGATGCAAGTTTGTTCAAATCATGACCCCCGGGGCTAGGGTGGGTCCAAAATGGCCGATCAAAGTTTTACATAGGAATATATAGGAGAAATTTTTAAAAATCTTCTTCTCAAGAACCATTGGGCCAGGAAAGATGAAACTCACGTGGAATTATCCTCAGGTAGTGTAGATTCAAATTTGTTCATATCATGACCCCTGGGGTAGGGTGGGGCCAAAATGACCAATCAAACTTTTACATAGGAATATATTGGAGAAATCTTTAAAAATCCTCTTCTCAAGTACCACTGGGCCAGGAAAGATTAAACTCATGTGGAATCATCCTCAGGTAGTGTAGATGCAAGTTTGTTCAAATCATGACCCTGGGGGTAGGGTGGGGCCAAAATGGCGGATCAAAGTTTTACATAGGAACATATAGGGAAACCTTTTAAAATCTTCTTTTAAAGTACTTCAAAGCCAGGCTTTGTTAAATTTATAGGGAATCATCCTCAGGTAGTGTAGATTCAAGTTTGTTCAAATCATGACCCCCCCCCCCCCCCCCCCAGTTTACTTTCAGTTCTGATCTGATCTGTGTTTTTTCCTAGCCAATTGCTCAGGTGAGCGATGTGGCCCCTGGGCCTCTTGTGTTCATATGGGAGGTGGGGGTATCATTTAGTGAGCTCATTGCTCACAGTACCTCTAGTTTCTATTATTTTAAGGTTTTCAGATATCGTTCCACTACATATATCCTTGATAAATGTTGCAATTTTAAAGTTGGGTTTATAGTTACGCGTAGTGTAGTAGTTAATTATGAACCAACCAATGAGATTTTGTCCACAGTCCTCCAGATTGGTCGTTTCCAAGTGGTTCAAAGCCACAGCACTTAGTTTTTGATTGTAAGGTGAAGAATCTTTCATAACTTAATCTCCAATATTTTATTTGAGGAAACAGAGTCAAAAATCCTACAATATTGGATTTTTCTAGTTTGAGGACAAGTCAGCTGAAAAATTACATACATTCATTTTTAGCTCACCTGAGCCGAAGGCTCAAGTGAGCTTTTCTGATCACATTTTGTCCAAACTCACTTTCTGTCTATTGTCGTTATTTCTCGAATGTGTAAACTTTTCACATTTTTGACTTCTTCTCAAGAATGGCTGGGCCAATTTCAACCAAACTTGCCACAAAGCATCCTTGGGTGAAGGGGATCCAAGTTTGTTCAAATGAAGGGCCAGGCCCTAATTCAAGGGGAGATAATTGGGAATTAATGAAAATTTGGTGGTATGTTTTAAAAATCTTCTTCTTAAGAACCACTGTGCCAGGAAAGATGAAACTTATGGGGTAACATCCTCAGGTAGTGTAGATTCAAGTTTGTTCAAATCATGACCCACCGGGGAATCTGCCTTTAAAATTCAAAGGGTAGGGGCCAAAATGGCCGACCAAAGTTTTATTAGAAATATATAGGAAAATTCTTTAAAAATCTTCTTCTCAAGAACCACTGGGCCAGGAAAGATGAAACTTATGGGGTAACATCCTCAGGTAGTGTAGATTCAAGTTTGTTCAAATCATGACAAACTTGCCCAAAGGGGTAGGGCAGGGCCAAAAGGGCCAGGCCCTAATTCAAAGTTTTACATAGAAATATATTTGGAAAATTCTTTAAAAATCTTCTTCTCAAGAATGACAAAGCCATAATTCATCAAATTTATATGGAAGCATCCTCAGGTAGTGAAGATTCAAGTTTGTTCAAATCATGACCCTCGGGGATAGGGCGGGGCCAAAATGGCCGACCAAAGTTTTACATAGAAATATATAGGAAAATTCTTTAAAAATCTTCTTCTCAAGAACCACTGGGCCAGGAAAGATGAAACTTATGGGGTAACATCCTCAGGTAGTGTAGATTCAAGTTTGTTCAAATCATGACCCCCGGGGGTAGGGCGGGGCCAAAATGGCCGACCAAAGTTTTACATAGAAATATATTGTAAATTCACTTTTTATTTGACAAAGCCATAATTCATCAAATTTATATTTCAGGTAGTAATTACGTTCAAATCATGAGGCGGTATGCCAAAATGGCGAAAATTTACTCGCGAAATATAATAAATTCTTTAAAAATTATATAAAACCAATGACCACAATTCGTGAAAATTTTGTCTCGCTAATAAAGAGTCAAGTTTGAAATCATGACGAAAATAAAATGTCGCGAAAATTAAGTGATCTACAGTATATTGGAAAATTCTTTAAAAATCTTCTTCTCAAGAATGACAAAGCCATAATACATCAAATTTATATGAAAACATCCTCAGATAGTGAAGATTCAAGTTTGTTCAAATCATGACCCCCGGGGTTGGGCAGGGCCAAAATGGCCGACCAAAGTTTTACATAGAAATATATAGGAAAATTCTTTAAAAATCTTCTTCTCAAGAATAGCAAAGCCATTATTCATCATATTTATATGGAAGCATCCTCAGGTAGTGTAGATTCAAATTGTTCAAATCATGACCCCTGGGGGTAGGGCGGGGCCAATATGGCCGACAAAAGTTTTACATAGAAATATATGGGAAAATTCTTAAAAAATCTTCTCAAGAATGACAAAGCCATAATTCATCAAATTAATATGGAAGCATCCTCAGGTAGTTAGATTCAAGTTTGTTCAAATCATGACCCCCTGGGTAGGGCGGAGCCAAAATGGCCGACCAAAGTTTTATATAGAAATATATGGGAAAATTCTTTGAAGAATAGCAAATCCATGATTGATCATGGGATTACTTTTGGATTTTAACTTTT